AGCAGCAGCAGTAGTAGCAGTAGTCGTGGTCGTAGTCGTAGTCGTCGCCGTCGTAGTAGAAGCAGCAGCAGTAGTAGCAGTAGTCGTGGCCGTAGTCGTGGTCGTAGTCGTAGTCGTCGCCGTCGTAGTAGTAGTAGTAGTAGTAGTAGTTAGTTGTCTTGGAGGTTTAGTAGTAGTAGTAGCAGTAAAGTAAGTAGTAGTAGTAGTAGTAGTAAGTATTAGTATTTAGTATTAGTAATAGTAGTAGTAATAGTAGTAGGTAGTAGTAGTAGTAGTAGTAATTGTGTAGTAGTAGTAGTAGTAGTAGTGTAGTAGTAGTAGTAGGTAGTAATAGTAAGTAGTAGTAGTAGTAAGTCGTAGTAGTCGGAGTAGTCGTTAGCAGTCGTAGTGTCGTAGCAGTAGTCAGAGTATTGTAGTAGTAGTAAGTAGTAGTAGTAGTAAAGTAGTAGTCGTATAAGTAGTAGTAGTTTAGTACGTAGTCAGTCGTGTACGTATAGTAGTAGTAGTAGTAGTAGTAGTGGTAGTGGTAGTGGTAGTGGTAGTAGTAGTCGTAGTAGTAGTAGTAGTAGTAGTAGTAGTAGTGGCAGTAGTGGTAGTAGGCGTAGTCGTAGTACCAGTAGCAGTAGTAGGAGTCGTAGGAGTCGTAGTAGTAGTAGTAGTAGTAGTAGTAGTAGTAGTAGTAGTAGTAGTAGTCGTAGTAGTAATAGTAGTAGTAGTCGTAGTAGTAGTAGTAGTAGTAGTAGTAGTAGTAGTAGTAGTAGTAGTAGTAGGGGTGCACATGGTCTCCGTGTCGCTACAAACCTTACCTTCGTGTACTCTTCTTTTGTAGCAGGCCTAATAGAACTCCTACAAGGAGAATTACGAAAACCGTAGTTTCAAACCTGGCCTTCGTGTCTTTCGCGCCAATGCCTACCTTCGTGCATTATTCGCTGTAGAGGCTGTAGATTGGATTCGCATTAGAAAATTATCAAAAACGGCAGTTTTACACCTGTCATTCGTGTCGACGTCGGATTTGGAGCAACCGCCACTGCCAGCCGCTTCATTTCGGCACAATCCTCTCGAGGATCGTGGGCCTGGCCCTCCGACGCGCGATTCCGGCGCGCACTTCACTAGGATCGTGGCCCTGGTCCAAGTGGGAGCGCTGCCGAAGGCCCCCCGACGTCCAATTCCGGCACGCCGCTCACGAGGATCGTGTCCTGGCCCACCTGGGAGCGCTGCCGACGGCCCACCGATGAGCAATATCGGCGCACCCCTCACACGGATCGTAGACCTCGCCACATTTGGATCGCCGCCCGACGCTGAAGTTCGGCACGCCTCTCACATGGATCGTGGCCCTGGCCCGCTGTGGAACGCTGCCGACGGCCCACCGACGCCCAATGCGGGAACACCCCTCACGAGGATCGTGGCCCCTTGGTCCACTTGAGAGTGGGTTTTCATAAGGACGTCGTTCTGGTTTTATTCGGGAGCGCATTCTGGTTTTATTACTTTCTGTTTCGTGATGGTTAGGAGGAAGAGGAAGAGGAGGAGGAGGAGGAGGAGGAGGAGGGGGAGGAGGAGGAAAACGAGGGGGAGGAGGAGGAGGAGGAGGAGGGGGAGGAGGAGGATGAGGAAGAGGAAAGTGAGCAGGAAAAGAGGAACGCTGTTTTCTCGTCTTCCACAATGGGTTTGCGAACCTCACCTTCGTGTGCTATTGGCTCTATAGCCCCTGTATTGTTTTCCTATCACCGAATGGCGACCTTGTGGGTTTCCGAACCCCTTCTTCGTGTACTATTAGAGTCAGTGGGCTTCCGAACCTCATCTTCGTGTACTATTAGGTCTATAGCCCTTGTATTGTTTTCCTATCAGCGAATGGCGAAATTGTGGGTTTCCGAACTTCTGCTTCGTGTACGATTAAAATCCAACTCTTCTGTGTTATTCTATTTGGTTTTCATACGACTGTGTAGAACCCGAAGTCGAACCCGAACCCGAACCCGAACCCGAACCCGAACCCGAACCCGAACCCTTACCCTTACCCATTCAGTCTTAGTAGACACGAAGGTGAAGTTTGACCCTAGTAGTAGTAGCAGTAGGAGTAGTAATAGTAGTAGTAGCAGTAGTAGTAGTAGTAGTAGTAGTAGTAGTAGTAGTAGTAGTAGTAGTAGTAGTAGTAGTAGTAGAAGTAGTAGTAGTGATAGTAGTAGTAGTAGTAGTAGTAGTAGTAGTGGTGTAGTAGTAGTAGTAATAGTAGTTAGTAAGTAAGAGCTGAGTAGTAGTATAAGTAATAGTCTTAGTAGTAGTAAGTAGAAAAGTAGTAGTAGTAGTAGTCTTTGTGTAATCCTAGCAATAAATAAGTAAGTAGTAGTAGTAGTAGTAGTATGATTGTAGTAGTAGTAGTAGTAGTAGTAGTAGTAGTAGTAGTAGTGGTAGTAGTAGTAGTAGTAGTAGTAGTAGTAGTAGGAACAGTAGCTGTAGTAGATGATTTGATTTTGAAGGAGGTGTGGATGCCCTGCTGGCGTGACAG